TCAAGCAGAGTGAGCTAACATGATAAGGACATGGGTTAAAGGGATGTACTGAGGCTGTTTCCACAGATGTATCTGCACATATTACAATCAACGAGGTCTTTAAATTGATGAAAGCTTCCTGTAAATTCCAGGGGCTGCACAGAAATATCTGTCAGGCCTGTTAATGCTTCAGCATATCTCCTAGAATTAACTTGGGGAAAACAAATGCCGATCCACTCCTGAATCACAAAAATAAAGCTGCAAATGAGCCCGAAATTCAGGCTGCAAAGTCAGCTGGCTTTGTCACGGGGAAAACACAAGCACCGAAGCAGGAGCAGCTCTGCGCATCCAGCCAGCCCGGGCCCTGTGACAGCAGCGAGCGGCGGCTGATTGCCACCAGCTAATTATAGCCGGGCCCAGGGCAGGGCTGTGAGCTGGGCCCGTGTCAAGGCAGCAGCTCCGTGACACATTCACCAGCAGCTCACCAAAAATTACCCTTTCCTGCTCCCCTCACCTCACGGCCACTGTTTCACTGCTGGAGCCATCGCCAGCTCGCCGGCCCTGGGGGTGCTGGCCCTCAGCAGCTCCTCCATCCCTGGGGGTGCCTGGCCCTCAGCAGCTCCTCCATCCCTGGGGGTGCCTGGCCCTCAGCAGCTCCTCCATCCCTGGGGGTGCCGGCCCTCAGCAGCTCCTCCATCCCTGGGGGTGCTGGCCCTCAGCAGCTCCTCCAGCCCTCGGGGTGCAGGCCCTCAGCAGCTCCTCCAGCCCTGGGGGTGCTGGCCCTCAGCAGCTCCTCCATCCCTGGGGGTGCCGGCCCTCAGCAGCTCCTCCATCCCTGGGGGTGCTGTCCCTCAGCAGCTCCTCCAGCCCTGGGGGTGCTGGCCCTCAGCAGCTCCTCCAGCCCTGGGGGTGCCGGCCCTCAGCAGCTCCTCCAGCCCTGGGGGTGCCGGCCCTCGGCAGCCCCTCCAGCCCTGACAGGGAGCACCAGCCCTTCTGGATGTGAGAAAGCTCAGGGTAAGTGATGGCATGGAGAAAGGGATATGTATTCCACGTCGCTGCAGATCCGGGAGTCTTTTGGAGGAAGAGGAGCCAGAGCTGTCGGAGCTGGCAGCACCTGCTGCCTGCCGCAGTGTCCCCAGGAAGGCAACTGACCTTCCGCCAGGCTGCACCCCCTTCCCTGGGCCCACGAAACATTTATTCTGCACATTTATTCTCCAACCCCCACTGTTTCCCAAGAATGAGAAGCAAAATAAAATGGGGAGGTTATTCCTCAAATGTTTTCCTTGACCTGGAGAAAGCAACAGCTTGCGACAGATTTCCTGCTGGCCTGCCCTCGGTCAAAGCAGCCCAAAGGGCCGCTGCACGTTATTTCCATCTCAGAGCTGTTTACAGAGTTTTGTCCTTCCCTCAGGCACTTTCCTTCCCAGTATTAGCAGCGATGTGTGAAGATACTCTGGTATCAGTGCCCTTTTCCTGGAAGTGTTCCAGCCCACCAGCCCCTCTGAAGGGCAGCATCAGCCCCAGCCTCTGCACTTCTCACCCTGCACAGGTCTCCCAGGCTCCTTTCCATACAGAGCCAGGCAACAAGGCACACATGGATTTGCAATTTGACTCTGCCAGAGTATCTCCGTAAGACTCATCTTTAACAAGACTGTTTTCCCTATACTTATGATAACCAGGCAAGCAAAATGATGCCACACAACCTTAAAGACTGCAGAACAAGACAATTCTAAAAAGATACTTAACATAAAATCAGTGCTAAGTAGATGGGGAAACAGGGATGAGGAAGGAATGAAAAATAAAGCAAACAAGATAGCACATCTTAGTTACTTTTCTATCCACGCAAGCTGCCTCTCTTGGAATCAATTCTAGTTGCACCTAAACTAAATCTGATCAAAGTTGCTGTAATAATTTGTATACTTAAAGTATCAACTCATCAGTAAGAATGAAACACAGTCAGCTCATCAAATGCTTCTTCTCATTACAGCCTTTCACAGCAGGAGCCTGCATCTCCCATTCCTGCAGACATCTGCTGTGCTCATCAGAAACCCAAAGAAAAAGTGGCACGAAGACTCTTCTCAGGATTATTTCAGTTTGAGCACTTGTCGGTGCCACACACCCCATCTCCATTCTCCCCAGCTGTCACACATGGAGAAGTGCAAAAGTACTATGAAAAGAACCTACTGCAAAACCCACACACTGGCAAGGGATTTGGGGACCTACATAGCACTTGAACCTACATTTGCCTTCAGTCTGTGAAATAATTTAGCTTTCAAGTCTATGAGGCCTTTTAACATGGGAGCTTTCAACGTCAATCTTCCTGAATGCCAGCACCTAGTTACCTGTTTTTGAACATTTAAAGCCAGGAGTATGGCCATTCCAAAGTCTGCTACTTCCCAGCTTCCAAAATCCTTATATTTATGACTGATTTACACTTCTCTGCATGATTTTTACTTCATACGAAGATTTTCATGTGAGGAACTTGCACTTACACCCCCATTGTTTTGAACAATCACTCGCTGTTTCAACTTGACTATAACCAAACTGAAGAGGAAGAGAGTTTATCAGTAGCCCATGAGTTATCACTTCTGCAGGAAGGCTCCAGATACCTCTGTACAAAAATATTTTTATAGCTTTTACTTCATGTATAACCATACTTCCTTGGATGCTGCACTCACAGGTGTTCCAATAAGCAACCAAGGAAGCACAGTCTTGATGAAACCAGCAACAAATGGAGGACCCACATGAGTGTCATTGATGGGACACTGCAGAAGCAAAAAGAGATGTCAAGCAGGTTTCCTTCTTTTTTTTTTTGTTTCTTGGTTCTATGCCCGCTAACAGTGAAGGAGAGGAGGAAGTAGAGGGCATGCTTATTAAAATTTGCAGCACACAAGTCTGGAGGGAACGCAATTACACCAGAGGACAAGATTAAATGAGATTATTTCATCATTTGAAGACATGCTTTGAAATTCAACACGGTCAGAAGTAGAGCTACTACAGGCACTCAGGAGCAACCAACAAAAAGAGGTTGTGGAAAACTGTTCTGACTGTTCAGACAACAGCTCTTCAGAGGAATATTTGGAGTGCAGCAGGCTATAAGGGGAACATGCCTCGGTGAAGTCATACTGTTATGAAAGCTGAACAAGCTGGGATTACTAAATACAGGAGCCCACATCACCTACAATATAAGTCATTCTTCTGCTCTGCTCAGTTTCCTAAGCCCTTGAATGAAAAATTATCTCCCACACTGAGTACTTTAAGTAAATAAAAGGGGACCAAAGGAAGAGAGTACAAAAGCCAGGAAAAACATCTAGAAAATAGGACTTGTCAGAAGGGGCAAATGGCATTGTTTTTATCTAGTGAGGAGAATGTTATCAGCAGGGTGATAATGGACTGCTATGTACATAGAAACGTGCTACAAAAGTCAATAGAACTATCTGTTCTCCATAACCACAGCAGATAAGGAGTAATGGGCTGAGATTGGAGCAAGAATGATTCAGATCAAACATTATAAAACCTACATATAATGATAACAAAGCACAGGAATAGATTTTATCCAGAGTTCTCCAAACACAGGGTAAATTAACAGCAGTGGTGCATCACTGAAGCACTGTTGATCATACCCAGGAGCAGGAAGAGGAAGCTTGGCAATCTCATAGCATTCTTCCTCCATCCCATTTATTCCCAGTTTTCCATGAACCTCAAGCTGTACAACTATAAGCACTAAGAGCTACAACAATATTATAACCATCAGAGCTACCACAAACCTCAGTGAAGTTTACATGCATTGAGTACCTCATCAATACCAACCATTAAATCACAACTGATTTGTGCTGTCTGGTCAATGTGATGGCAGGGAAGTGACTTTTACTAAGGGCATGATTCAGCTGACAGAGGATTAGCAGAAGAAGAGAAATTTCAGCCACATATCACTCTCAGCCCTCAGCAGAGTGAACAGAGACAACTGCCCATGGTCAACACCTGTTTTGGGATAAAGGCCGTGCTCTGTGCTGGCTGTGCAGGCACCCTCAGGGATAGCTGGAATTGTGACATTTCTTGTGCAGGTAATCAATACAGGAGGATGTGTCTGTGTGCACTAAATAGTCACCTGTGTACTCAGCCCCTCAGCCAGGAACACTTCCAGAAACCTCCTCGTCCGTGCAGCCAGAGAAGATGCTGCACAGCACTGGCAGGTCTCAGACGGATTTTACATTTCTCTTCTAAAAAGATTTTGGCTATAACCTTTACTACACAAGGGAGCAGAGCATCCCAACATGCTTCAGGGTTCTCATTGATGTTATTCCATATGGGATGTCAGCATATTTTTAGAGAAACACTTCTTTGAAAGATGTGCCATTAACTCTGGATCCAGAGCCTTTTTTTTTTTTTTTTTTTTTCTAAGACATAACTTGGGAAACTTCCAGACAGGAACAGCTCATATAATATCCTCACTGGAACATCAGGCTTAGCTTTGTGCAAGTAAGAAAAGCAGAACCCTTCAGATTACGTTTCAGGTTTGGGATCTGCCCTTTGCACTGGGCTCTCTCCTGGTGGGGCACTGCCTCTCTGGAAAACATTACAAAGCCAGGGCAGTGCTGTCCCACAGCTCATGGGCCTCTTGCTGGGTACAGGAGTTGCTTTCTTACACCCCAGCATTCATTCCAGCCCCCTTGGGGCTGGGAGGGCAAGGAAGGCATACACAATTCCCCTACTGTGGAGCACAGAGATAATTTCTCCTAATTAGAGAACTCTAAATATTTGGAAGTCAGCATCCATTATTATTCTGGAAATTTCACATGACAATACAAGATGGGTTGATTCTGGCAAAAATTCTTCATAGCAAAAGAGCATTATCAGGCAAGAACAGAGACATTTTTCTGTTTTTCAGTGCAGTAATGCCAAAAGATACATTACAGCCAGTCAGACTACTCAGCTATCTCTAAAAGGAAAGAAGGGCAAACTTCTAAATATGAAAATTCCAAATGAATTGCATTCAGATATCTCCCCATCTCTCCTAGATGAGACTGTGAAAAATATTTCTGATAAAAATGGCACAGAACATAAACTGAAAAATAACCATGAATTCATATTCAGCTGCATCTTTCAGAGGCCAATACAATTATGTGACTTCTCTTCCCTGAAATGGCTTTGGGGGGGAAGGAAGAGAGAAAGGAGAAAAAAAGAGAAAACTGGAAAAAAAAATTGTCCTGGAAGTGACTTTGGGAACAAATGCTATGTCAGCTGGAAGAAAGCCAAACTTGAGTTGAAATAGCACTTTGCTATATTCAACTCTACAGATTTTTCTGACTGGAGATGGCTCCACTCAAGGACATTGCCATAATAATTGGGAACATGCTGACATCTGCATCAGAGGCTCAGTCTAGTCAGAAATCAAAGTATGAGAAAGAGGCAGTGAGATCAAGCTTAAGGATCTGGAAAGCTTGCAGTCAGGACAGCATTTTGGGGAAGGTTGCCTGTTTAACTCCAGAATGTCTTCCTAAGTTTGCTGAAAATAATGGGAAACAGGAAGCTGATCCTTTACTCCAACACTTGCCTCAGCAAACCCAAGCTACCCACTTCACTTGATTAAAATGTAGTTAATTCACAGGCAGTACCATAGACCATATTTGTTGGCCTGTTGCTGGGACAGGGTGATTCCTTCACCTGTTTATCAATTTTGCACAGGTCTAGTTATGCTTGAAAGATGAACTTTCAAACAGCAAAATTTCTATAGTAGATAAATCCAGAAGGCTTAACAAGTAACAATTTGAGTCATGCTCTCTTCTTGCCATCGATTTGCAGTGCTGGGAGCAGCAGAAAGGGAAGATGCAAAACAGAGATGATGCACAGATCTGTGAAAAATTACTCATCAATCCAAACCCCAATATGCAGCAGGGCTAAGAGGAACTTAATTTCAAATGAAAAACGTCCAGTCGCCAGCACATAAAATTGCTTCTCTAGAAGTGGCATTTCCAGTTGCAGACTGCATTCTGCTTAGACACATAAAATCCATTGTATTCCCCTTCCCCTTGGTATGCAGTGCACACATGAATGGGAGCTGCTGCTGCAGAATTCTGCTCATTTGCTCCCGGGTTGAAGGTGATCCCATTCCTTCTAATTACATAAGAAAATCCCACTGTCGTGGTGATTGTTGCAAGAAGAACAAATGTGTAATGCTTGGGAACAACAGTGCTTTGAGACTTCAGCAGATCACCCCACTCTGTTCAGAGGATGCTGGGACCTCTCCTTCTGATCCTCAGTTCCAAATACATTCGGCACCAAACAGGCCCAGCTGCTATTTCTGCCTTGCTTCACTTGCTGTGATGTGGCTTCTTTTCAGTTTGCTTCCCTGCATCCATCAACGATGAAGGAAAAGAGGTAACAGGATTTACTGCATGGTTGTTCTAGCTCTGTGTACAGGATCCACTAAAATCACAGTAAATTACAATAAATAACTGGTTTTCTGTTACTTTTCTCTTTCTTTTGAAATTAGGAGGCACTTTTTTTTCATTCAAAGGCCAGGAAGATAAGGGCTTGCTCTGCCATAACGTGTGTTGGTTTAGCATGGCTTCAGGATATAGTGTTTGCTGAGTTTGTTTGAACTTTCTTTTGGTTACCAGGCCTTCACAAGTAGAAGAATTTCCTCTTTTCCTAGTACTGGCAGCATCATAGCCAGTCTCCTGCAGTACCCACCAAACCAAAAGCTGGTGAAACTCTAGAAGAAAGGAGGACTTTGCTTCCAGCACATACAAAAATTACCAGGGAAGAGGGATGGAGAAAACACTTTTCTTTAGGAATATACCCCTGGTTTGCAACTGACTGTGATTCTACCTGTGACTGTCTAAATCTAGAATTAGATATTTGTCTTCCAGGACAAGTTGGCAGACAATGGGAGGCTCAGAGGAAAATAATAGTACAGTACAAGAAATGGGCATCTTCATTCACGTCATGGCATTCCCTGGGATACCAAGGTAGGAGCTGCTTTGTCCTGTTCCTGACTTGGCTCACACAAATGGTCAGGCACTCGCCCTGGCCAGTGTCCAGCAACCTCCTCCTGATCTTCGTTTTCCTCACTTGAAAGAGTTTGGCACCACATGAGTTTAAGTGCAGAGAGCGTTTGTAGGCAGCCATGCAGATGACCCTGAAGCAATCAAAACCAGCAAGGAACCTTTCCTCAGCAAAACCACGTTTGCTCTTGCAATGTTACATTTTCTTTGCTGTCTCCATCAGGGAGTGATCTGACCTGACACATGACCTGCAATCCTCACCAAAACTGCCTTTTCTCTGTTCTGTGTTTTCCTTTCAGGGTGACTGTTTGATCTCACCTTTACACAGAACTCTCCAAGGGCAGAGGCCAAAAGGGAACTGCAGGGAGGACAGAGGAGAGAAAAGTCACACCAGCATGTGGACAGCAACACAGACTGCAGCCCACAGCAGAACAGTCAGACCTTTCTCTCGCTGGTGGGGACAACTCACGTGGCAGAAGATGAAATTTGGTGCTGTTGAACTTTACATTAATCACTGCCTGCCCGGAAAGCAGCTGGAGTAGCCTGGCTCTGCCAGTGTGGAGCACAAGGAATCACTCAGGGATGCTGGATTCTCCTGCCATGGGGATGTGCTGCATCAGCAGCAGGACCACGGCACAAGAGATTTGGAAACTGCTGCAGTTAAAGCAAGGAAGGATGCAAAATGACAGGATGAAAAAACAGCACCCTCCTCTTCCAGAAAACCACAGAGCAAACTCAGAAGATCTTGAACAGGAAGGTACTCATGAATTCAGTAACAAAATTACCTCATATTGTCAAAACATCCTTCCATCTCCCCAAAGGCTGCCATTGTCTCACCAGCAGAGCAGGTGAGGACACTGCACTCATCTGCACATCCCCTCAGCAGTGAGGATGCATCACTGCACCATTTTAGGAGAAACACACTGCATTAGCATGTCAGGTCTCAAACAAACAGCCTTTTAGATTTAGGGCAAACCCAACATTTTTGATTCAAAACAACAGTACTTTGGGAGCTTCCCATTCATGGGTTTCCAAGAGCATGTGCCATTCCCTAAAAAGCTGAGCTGGCTATTGCTTCAGAGGCAGCTCTGCACAGACCATACTCCCACAATGTACTTCACATTTCTCTGCCCACACAAAACCCCCCTCTCAGCCTGGACGAGGGCAGGCACCAGATGCTCTCAATGCAGCTCTCTGTTTCCTAACGCAACGTTTCACAGCCAAAAATAAACCAGCCCCAAACAACGCACTGGTTTGTATGTACTGCACATCCTATTTCATCATCTAAAGCCAGGCTCCATGCTGCAGAAATGGTCACACCTCAAAAGAGAAAGGTTCACTGGGGTAAAGAAGTGCAAAGGACAATTAAAGAGGGCAGGGGCTCTGGTAAGGAAAGCACTCTGGCACGTCTCCTCCTTGGCTTGGCCCCCTGAGCTGAATACAAATGAGGAGCATCACTGACAGCCCAGTCTAACATCTCAGTCCCCTTCACAAGCCATCCATTCGGCTCAGGGCACAGACACAGTGCAGGCATTGTCACAAATACACTGGGCACAAACAGACTGACAGGGAGCCCCACAGACAAACATCACCCCATCGAGACTGAACACAGCCTTAAAAATATACTAACAGATACAGCTATTAACATGCCTGCACAGAACAGAGTACGGACAGAGCACTCAAAGTGCTTGTTCATTCCTCATCCTCCATTTCAAGCTACGATGTCACCCTGTAATTAGCTGAAATAACCTCTATTCTGCTCAGCTTCGCCACTGATGAGAAGCTCACAAGAAGTATGAATCGTCAGGAAAGGTTTAAAAATACATGCAAATTTAACAGCAATGACAAGAGACATAAAGAGACATAAAGCACTTACTTGCTTTTTCTTTTTTGTTTTTGGTTGGTTAGATTTTTTGTTTTGTTTTTTTTTTTTTTTTTTTACTCTTGCAAGGGCTGATTAGCAAGGATGTCACCAGTTTGGTTTTGCAAGCTAATTCTTAGTTCATAAGAATTAAGTGGGCATAGACTCATCCTAAGTGGGAAAAGACTTTTCCAAAGCTTCAGTTCTAAGATGAAACAACCACAGCATTGCTAAGAAATATATAGGTATTACGTTCTTAAGCAAATGTACATTGTAGAATCCAGGATTGCTTAGCTTTAAAATAGACTTAGGACAAAAGACCTAATATCAAAGCAGAAGAATTAGCATAGCAGAATTTCCATAAGAAACAAAAAGTTGAGGATGTCATATATTTTACTGACTGATCATTGTTGCAAAAAAACATGGGTGGGAACTAACTGTGGGCAAATGAGGGAGCCTACATTTAAATAGCAGATAATTCATGAAGTTTTTTTCCCCACCTCTATTACTCTGTGAACATCTGATTCACTGGGCCTTTTGTGTTTTTCCTTTAATTAAACATTTCAAGCCATTCACCATGTCTGACTAATGAACCCAGCATATTTCATTCTTGTTTTGTGTGCAGATGGGTTGTACACATAACTGTGAACACTGTGGCTTATGATGCATAAAAAAATAAATGTAGATTCCAAAAGTAAGAAAAAAAATCTAATGCAGTTTCAGAAGCTTGTGAGAAATAAACAGTCTGAGTGCTGGGGAAGCTCAGGCTGTTAGAATACCAGGAAAACCTCCAAGAGCCATGTATAAAGATGCAAAAGGTAAATACACTGAGATAACAAAATTATTATAGGCAGGAATTGTTCTTATAAAGAAAATGATGAGCTGCACAGGAACAGCAAACAGTTCTCAAGCCCAGTTCATGTTCTCTAAGTGCTACATTTACACAGGCTGTAATGAGAAACGCAGGCTTAATTAAGCTTTTTATTTAAAGAAAATAGCTGATAAAACATGAAAAAGAGAACCCCACATCTCTGGTATGCATTGCCCCTTCTTTTTAATTTGCTTGCTCGAAAATCAAGCACAGAGAAGATTAATTTATTGGTTGGAACATAAAACCAATTAAATAAATAAACAGCTTGTCACTCTGACTTCAGAGTGAATCTAGTGGAAAATTTTTTTTCCCAGGAAACCTATTTTGGGAAAGCAATAAACCACAGGGAAGGGCAAAGGCTAGAGAAAAGGCTAGAGGCATAAAAAACCCACCTGGAGACACTGTGCTATTTCTGATTTATTGAGGATTTTTTTTGGGCAGGAGCCTGCAGGAGCTGATTACTCCAGTCCTCCTACAAGAGCAGCCCACAGTTCTCAGGTGCCTGGGCATCTCACTGCACCTCCAGCCAAGCAACCACACTGCTACTCCCATCCAGATATCCACGGTCTGTGCTGTTTTTCTTCAAATAGAACTTTTTTCCTCTATTATTTCACTTCTGATCTCTATGACTACAGAAAGGCAGTGGATTCCCCTGCAATGATACAGAGCAATGAAGCTGTGCTTGGGCTTGATGGAATTAACTCACTGGTGAAGGGTTCAGCTCAAGATGCACCGTTACCACCCACCCCTGTGAGGAGGTGAGGAGCAGCCCTCTTTTGCTGCCAGCCCAGACTCCAAAGTAGAGAAAATTACTTTACAGAGCACAGAAAATGTTTCCTTTGGCAGCAGTTATGAAAATGCCATTCATCCTGTGCACAGCCTGTATGCTCCAGCATAATAAAGAGGGTGATTGAAAGGTCTTTTAAGAAGTTTACTGGGTCACATTTCTCCTGGACCAAGGCCAATGCTCCCATTATTCCCCAGTGCTGGGTGCACATTGCACAAATCCTTTACTGGTCTCAACCCTTGTTTCTTACTGATGCTGACAGTGCCTGAGAACAGAAATATGAACCCTGACACTGCTTCTAGTGTCAAACATGCTTCCAGAGGTTCTCTAAGGTACATTAATAAGCCTGCCATCCTTGCTTCTTAGGTGTCCAAATGGCCAAGAGAAGTGGAGCCTGTGCACTTGTATCTGTGTCATCCAGCAGACGCTGTTCTTCACAGGCTTGCAGGAGTGTGGGGTAGGATAATGTAAGAGCTTGATTATGCAAACCATTAAAGTTAATGGCACTAGTCATTTAAGGACAAATTATGCCAGGGACTATGGTTTTGCAGAGAAGTGCACTGACAGTAAATTGTATTTTCCAGCTAGACATTTGTGCAGCTTCCTAAGGCAGTCAGTCCTCCTCTCACCACAACCAAGGAGCTGCAATTTCCAAAAAACACTGAATGCTGGGGACAAGAGCCCGTGCAGGGGCACTGCTGTGTCCTCTCCACAGAGGAGCTCAATGCCTTGAGACAATCACCTGATGCACTCAGGGGTTCTCCTGAAAACCAGCAAAACACAGAGACACCAGCACTTGCACAATCACTGTCTGAAGCTCTCTAGGTCACCAGGAATTGCTAGTAAGCAATTCATCTTTTGCAAAATAAAGCAATTTATTGTAAAAGAAGGAAAACCAGAACAATTAATTTTTCCCTTCTCCTTAGCTGTGCTATTGGATTTCTCACCTGTTTAACCTATAGGTCCTCTAGAGAAGTTACTTTCTGCTTTTAATAATTCAAACATTATTTTAAGAATAATTCAATATTTTAGTCCTTTGGGTATTAGTGCTTAAGTAAATCTTGTCAAGATCCACATTTCAGCAAGCTTTTCCATAAACTCAGGGCAATAAAGCTCTAGAGAATGGCTTGTGCACACTGGGAATCAGCAGCAGTCACACATCCAGAGAAGGGTGGGAGCAAAGAAATGGCCATAAAACCCATGATTCACCCACAGAAAATCAGCCTTCCCCTGCACAGCATCCCAGCTGGCTCACTCTGGGCATCGTGGGCAGAGAAGAAATTGCAACACAGCTCCTGCAGGAGGTCTTTGCTGCACACTTGGTTTAGTGACTCTGCAAGGCAGAGTGGCTTCCCCAGTCCAGGTCTGAACACACAAGACCTCACCTGGCCAGAGAGCTGCCCCTGCACAAGCACAGGACACCCATGGAAGGTAAAGACTCCTCAGGACACAAAAAAAATAGTCAGAGAGGTACATTTGCAATGCCTGGCAAAGAGTTTTACTCCTAACTCCCATTAGACTAATGGGCACAAGAACAAGGAAGTATTCTTTATGCTGCCCAGATCTGGAAAATTCTGCCCAGAAGGTCTATCTGTGGCAATTTTAAATCATTTCAGCTGTAAAAGCAAAGATGGGAAAGTAAGGGGGAAAATAGCAGAAAAAGAGAAAGAGCCTTTGATTCTCTCCTATTAATAATGTTAAAAAGTCCAAATAGCTTCATTTCAGACCCAAGACCTAATTTACTGTGTGGTAATAGCACTGTCACTGTACTTATCACAAAGAGCCATTTTGTCCCAGTGAAATGTGCCCTTGGAGGCACAACTGAAAAGCCTGCAGGACAGGAGGCTCACTTTCTTGCCTGGAAGAAACTTTCAGCCTGTGAGTCTTTGTCTGAGGCAGCTATGCACAAACACAGCAAAATGATGTGCCCTCTTTGGCTGGTGCTCTTGCAGGGGCTGTAAATCAGCAGTGCACACACTTAACCAACACCTCACCTAATGCCAGAGGGGCAAACAAGCAGGATTTTGCTTTTGCAGGAGGCCACAAGCTGCTGAGAACAGCAAAGCATTCTGGCAGTGGTGAAGGCATCTCTGAAGGGCAGTGAGCTGCCCAGCTCCCACCGGGATGGCCACTGGAAGGGGAGACTCTCCTCAGCATCCTTCTGCAAAAGCCTCTTGGCTCGTGCAGCTTCAGAAGCAAAAATCCTCCTTTCTGGTCTGCTGCACCAGCAAGGAGCAACTCTGAGCCAAAAATCCCTCCCAAAAACACCCCAGAGCTGGGAGACCTCAGCTCCAAACAGACATCCCCCTAAAGAGATTTAAAACCAGACATTTGTCCAGGCAAGAGGCGGCATGACAGATGCTTCATGGATTTTCTCATTGCTCCGAGTTACAGTTTTGAGCCTCACATAAGCTTTCCCTGCTGGGATCTCCACTGAAAACTTGGCTGTGAAGAGGCTGCAGCTGCGTGGGACTGCACTGATGCCTGGCAAAACCCCCAACTCCAGGGCAAGGATGCAAAAACCAGAAGGAAATGTAGACACTGCACTACAGGCACTAGTGATGTGCCATTTCTCTGCTTCACACTGCAGCAGTTGGGTTCTCTGGTGCTCCCAAAGAGCCACCAAACCCTGCCAACACTCTCCTTTTCTGCTTGTCCACTGGTACCACCCGACAGTGTTTCTGCAGTGCCACCAGCAGTTGTTGCCAGAAGAAAATCCAAGCCAATTTTGACATGTTTCCCACAAAAGAGGTAATTTTAACCACACTGGGTACACTACAGTCAACATTTATATTTGCACAGGTTTAAACGAGCAGAGTGCAGTTTTCAGTACATGCAAATCAAGCTGTGGTAAAAATTTAAGCTTGTGACACTTGTAGGAAGGAAAGCTGGACTGATAAGTGGTGACTCAGACAAGCTGGCACTGAGGAGCAAGATGACAGAACGTTTAATTAACAAATTAACTTTCTACTCTCTTAAATAATCATCACAGTCTTGCAAACATCCAAGAATACAGCATTCAGTTTCTACCTACAAGGCTGCCCCTGACATTTTTCCAAGCCTTACTTCCCAGTTTCCATTAAAAACAAGTTTACCTACTGCATCACCAGACTGTTCTGCTGACAGCAACATTCTGCTCTGAGCACCTCTTTGTAGCTGCAGGACGTATTAGCCAATTCCTCTGAGTCACTTCTAGCAGAGTCTCACTCTATCAGCAGCACCGATTGTGTGAGTGTCTGTTTGCTTGGCTGCCCTCCAACCACACCAGCTTTTCTGACTAAATCCCCTGCTCTCTCTCTGAGCAAATAGGAGTCAGGAGGCTTGCAGAAAGTCCTCTTCCTATTGGGAGGGGGACTCAGCAAAAAAAAATTCCTGGAGACCTTTTTCTGAACTGACTTGGAAGAAGGAGAGGAAAATGGATAGGGAAAAAGATAGATCCATGTATGTCACCATAAGAGTCTTAAAATTTTTGTCCTTTTATGAGACTCTCAACCTTCTGAATTTGGGTGGTGTGTGGAGTTACACAGAGCTGATACTGATTGTTGTAGCACACTTCCAGAAAATACACAACCAAAGGAAGTGGCTAAAGCTACAAAAAGGCATTTTTAAGTGCTAACCTGATCCCCTAAGACACTGGATTAAAAATCTTCCCAATTTGGACACCTGTTCTCCTTTTTGGTCACTGTCTTTTCCCCACTCCTGCACAGTCCTTGCTTCCCCTGCTGGAAAAAAGATTTACATTAGCAAATGTAAAGGGCTTTTGCAAGAGATTCGGCTCCTGTTTCCCAAGATAAGCCATTGGCAGGTCAGGCAGTCCCAAGCACCCATTTTTCTCTTTGAGCATCTGCTCTCACATCCATCAGTCCTCAAACACAACAGCCCAAATTTCTCCAGCAGCCACCATTTGGGTAAAATTATGAGTGTCAGTGTTTAACAGCAGATGGGAGCATCAGCTCCAGACACCATTCAGACAGGACCTCTGGGCTTGGACCCTTCTGCAACCCTTGCAGAAGCAAGTCACCTATTACTTACACAGCAACCGTCACAGGCATTTAATTGTAATTAACAGTTTGCTGAAAGAAAGGCAGCGGTAGAGGGGCCAGGACACAAAGGGAAGAGATGCTTTCCCTCCTTCCTGGGACAGAGAACAAGAAGTAGAGATCTCCAGAGATTTAAAAGAGCAAACAGCAGCCAGTTCAAGTACCTCGGGGAGCCCTGTTGTAATGGGGAAAAGGTGTCTTGGCCAGGAAAAGCAACCTTAGAAAGAGTAACTTCCCAGCAGGCAATGCTAATTCCAGAAGCCCTGATGGACACACAGTGGATATTGCTGGTTGGGATCTGTGTACAAATCATGAATGGGACAGGGCTGTTGAGGAACACGTCTTGAGCTGTTTTATTTTCCAGCATGAGTCTCATTACATGGTTATGACAATAGGAAGGTGCCAGCAGCTCACATTCCCGGCAGCAGACCAAGAAAATGTCACAACTTACTTTAAAAGCTTTTTGACCAATCACACAAAGCAAAAGCATATTGACAGTAGTTCTATCCAACCACTATAAGCACATGTACCTTCTGTTAAAACAATGTTTGCTTATTTACAATACAACACCTGCTTGTAAGCCTTAAGATACAATGCACAGAGCTCTATTATTAAGATAAGAACTTGTATCTTGGTAGGTATATTTTTTTTTAGCTTAGGGAGTTATTCTAGGTGTTAATACACAGACTATTGTTCTATTTGTCTTTACTTTCTACTTCTTTTATAACTTTTCTGTTGACAAATCTCTAATCGTAGCTCTGCTGTCTCTGAGGCTTGCTTTTTGCAGCTTTCCCAAAACCCTCTGATTTTAAGGATTCCCACAATCCCCCCTCTTGCTTCAACTAAAAAGAAACCTTTGTCACCACGTAGTTTATTAACTACCTTGCGTTTTATAGTTTTAGCAGAATATATTTGTTTATTAC